TAGGTCAATGGAACAAAATAGAGAACCCAGAAATAAAGTCAAATACTTAGAGCCAACTGATCTTCAAGAAAACATACAAAAACATAAGCTGGGGAAAGGACACTCTATTCAATAAATGGTGCTGGGAAAACTGGCAAGCCACATGTAGAAGATTAAAACTGAATCCCCATTTCTTACGTTTCACAAAAATCAACTCAAGATGGATCGATCGAAGACTTAAGGCTCGAAACCATATATATTCTAGAAAATAACATCAGAAAAACTTTTCTAGATATTGGCTTAGGCAAAAAATCCATGACTAAGACCCCAAAAGCAAATGCAATAAAAACAAAAATAAATAAATGGGACCTACTAAAAAGCTTCTGCACAGAGAAAGAAATAATCAGCAGAGTAAACAGACAACTCACAGAGTAGGAGAAAATTTTTGCAACTATGCATTCAGTAAAGGATTCATATTCAGAATCTACAAGGAAATCAGACAAATCACCTACATGAGTACAGTGTATACTGCTCGGGTGACAGTTGAACCAAAATTTCAGAAATTACCACTAAAGCACTTATCCATGTAACCAAACACCACCTGTTCACCAAAAAACTATTGAAATAAAAATAAATTTAAAAAGAAGTAACAGCCTTAATGTTTAGCATATAGGATGTAACTCTAAAAGCTTCTGCATAAAACCTCTTGTCCATTGTTTTACCTACTGCAAGAATAAATCAATAAAATTAAATTGGTAATTTAATCACAAAGCTAGGATAAATAAGATAAATTTTACTCAATAGTAAATACTTGGTAGGAGGAAAGACAATCAGGTGAAATTATCAAGGTTCTCAGTAGAGAGGCTCCGAAGGTCACCACCACCCATCACAGAGAAATTACTAGTACTTACTCTTAACAAAACTTTATTGAAAAAAATCACTCTTTTACCCACTTCTCAATATACAGGTACAAATACAAAGGTGAAGTGACTGCAGTTTCTGCAGGGAGAGTTAAGCCAAAGAGGTGACCTCTTTCCTCTCCTTTCCTTCACAACTATCACTTTACCTCAGTCCAAAGACACTCTCATCTCATCCATCCTAAAATAAGAAAAGTTTTCTCTTGTCTTATGTGGTCCCTTTACCCCTTATTATTTAATTTATTCATTCATCAAATATTTACCGAGCACCTTCTCTGTGCCAGCAACTGGTTTAAACACAGAAGAGTGTCTATAAAACTGTAAAACCAGGCAAAAACTCTTGGGTTCATGGAGCTTACATTCTGTTCTCCACTTCTCATGCCAAAAACAATCTTCACTCCTCCCACCCCATTCAAAATTATCTCAATATTATCTGGCAAATGTCACACTACTTATTTTTGTAATACCTTTATTGAAATACAATTGGCATACTATACAATTCATCCAAAAAAAGTGTACAGTGATTTTTAATATACTCACAGTGTTGTGCAACGAACATCACAGTTGATTTTAAGATATACATAATTTTTGATCTAGAGAAAAATCACTATGGCTGGTGTCTTGCAGAGAATGAATTAGAAGAAAACAAGACTGGAGTTGGGAAAACCAGTACTAAGGCCTTAGCTTAGGAAAGATGACGATGTATGCACTAGATAATGCAGGGAAACTGGAGAGAAGTGTCCTGGCTTTGGGAGAATCAGAAGGCAGTTTATGTGAGATATGTATAGATACACACAACAAAATACTATTCGGTCTTTAAAATACTATTCATCCATGTTGACATTTACAACATGGATGACCCTGGAGGACATTATGTCAAGTGCAATAAGACAAAAACAGAAAACAAAATACTGAAAGGTATCACTTTTATGTGGAATCTAAGAGTCAAATACATAGAAGCAGGAAATAGAAGGATGATTACCAGGAGTGGAAAGTTTAGGGGAATGGAGCAGGTACAGAGTTGCTTTAGTATAGAGATCTAATGTGCAACATGAGAACTACGGTTAATTATATTGTAACGTATATTGAAATTAGAGGGATTTTGCTGGAAATTTGCTAAGAAAGAAGATTTCAAGCATTCTCCCCCCTTAAAAAGTAACTATGTGAGGAGCTGAGCATGTTAATTTGTTTTTGCAGTAATTATGTCTCTATGTATATCAAAACATTATGGTGTATACCCTACTTATATACCACCTTTATTTTTAAAGTGATAAAAATTTCAAAAATAGATGGAAATTTTCCAAACTTAAAAATCATTCATTGCCACAATTAATGGACTTCCCTGAAACAGTATTAACATTGTTAATTTCCTCTTCCTTCTCTACATGTTCTTTTCTTTTCATTTCTGCATTGCTCTGCTTTGACCGTTCTCTCCGGAAGTTCTGGTTGTTTTTTTTCATGGGTCTTTCTTCTTTTATCCAAGGTAGTTGATGATGGCATTTCACTAGGTAGGTTCTGTCTTCAGCCTACTTTTTCCCTCACTTTACACAAGTTTCTGTCCAATCTAATTTTTTATCTTCTGTCTTCAGCCTACTTTTTCCCTTACTTTACATAAGCTTCTGTCCAATCTAATCTTTTGTTGTCCAAATAATAATGAATATTAAGTTTATATCTCAAGTCCAATTTGATTATATTTGCTTGACATTTCTATACTCATCTACTCATATAAAATTCCCATTAATTATAAGCATATATGTTTATTATTTACTGATTGCACTTATTTATCAATATGTTTATTCATACTAAAATAAGCTTGCCTAAATGTCAACAAAAGCAACCTTGGGAAAATAATTTTCAACTCAGATCTGAAGAAAAAAGTGGTGTCATTCTCAATGCAGGAAGAAGGAGCTTATTGGGAAAATATATTGGCAGAAATATGAGAATATTTAGTTATTCAAAATGAGAAAGAACAATATACTTCCAAGAAATACCAAAAAGTATAATGTGATTGGAGAGTACAATGTGCACAAGAGTAACAGACACAAAATGAACTGTTCTCCTACATTACACAGTCCCTGGTGCCTGGGCTGGAAGGATGCCAGGGCCATCTCAGCTGATACTGTCACTAGATCACCTGTAAATAATCTCTCCAGGTAGCCTGAGCTTCTCACAATATGGCGGCTGAGTTCTGAAAGGAAGTGTTTGGCCAGGGAGTCTCCAGAAAGCAAGTGCCCAAAAGGATTAGGTCTTTCTCGTCTAGTTTCTGAAGTTGCATAGTATCATGTCTACAATTCTCTATTGGTCAAAGCAGTTGTAGTTCAGCCAAGGTTAAAGAAGAGCAGACATAAATTCTACTTCTCAATGAAAGGAGTGTCAAAGAATTTGAATTTCACTTTGTAAACTTTTCATATTAGAATTCATTCGTGTCAATGTCAGGTAGCATATTGATGGAAGTCAAGCAGAAAATAGTTGACACACTCAAAGAAATAATGGAGGACATTTTAAATGAAAGATCTATTTACAGAGATGTGGGTGGGGTTAAGGGAACCAATAATGAATGGCAAAGAACCCAAGGAACATAATAGCAGGAGGCCAATGGCCACCCCTAGATGTGAAGGGACAAAGGCAAGACCCAATTAGAGCTGCAGCCATAGGACAAGGACTGCTAGTAAGAAGCTCTGCCTTTATGTAGAGGAATGAATCTGCCATTTCAATAAAACCCAGGGCGCAGTGGCTCATGCCTGTAATCCAGCACTACGTGAGGCCAAGGCAGGTGGATCACTTGAGGCCAGGAGTTGGAGACCATCCTGGCCAACATGGCAAAACCCCGTCCCTACTAAAAATACAAAAATAAGCTGGGCACGGTGGCACATGCCTGTAGTCCCAGCTACTCAGGAGGCTGAATCATAAGAATCGCTTGAACTCAGAAGGCAGAGGTTGCAGTGAGCTGAGATCATGCCACTGCACTCCAGCCTGGATGACAGAGCCAGACTCTGTCCGAAAAATAAATAAAATAAAATAAAAAAGTCCAGCAGAGAAGAAAGGAAGGAAATTAAATTCACAGTGTCCTTCTTATCCTAACTCTTGTTTCCTGCCAGTGACTCTAGTGAGAGCTAGATTTGACCAGAAAACAGAGGGCAGGAGAGCTTGAGATATGTCTGTTCTAAAGTGCATCCTCTCAAAGCACAAAGACAGGCAAAGAAGGACAGAGAAGGAAAGTGAAGGGGTGTTCGTAGAATAACCAGCATAATTTCCCACCTCCCTTCAACCTCAGCATCCACTCTCGACTTGTGTTCAGATGCAAAATTGCACATACCTAACTCAGACAGTACTCGTATTCCTATCACACACCCCATCACTGTGGAGTGAGGTTGTTTCAGTCAGCCCAATGTAGACACAAAGTCAAAAAGTTAGCCACCACCATTGCTTCTCCTCGAAAGGAAGGAAAGGGAAATGCATGACAAATAATTCATATGAAACATAACTGCTGTGGTCCCTGCCTTGCAGCTGGCTATAGAACTGTGTTAATAATCACAGATTTCTTCTCCCTCATTCATTATATATTCCCCGACTTTCTGCCAGTACCCTAGCTAGTCAAAGATTTTACCTGGTGATGAGTCAAACCTTCATTCCCAGTCTCCAAATCCTTAAAGTCTACTCTCTTTATTACTTCATCAGAGTTTCTTATTAACCATTATTATTTAAAATGAGAATATCAAGAAATATCTCAGTGAAACCCTTAGCTTTCAGGTATACTCCCCTGTGCCTACCTCCACCCCAATCTCTTTAGCAGCAACTCTCTTTCCTCTTGACAACCAGGATTAATCTTCCTCATCAGGAAAGAGACGACCTTGTCTGTTTCTTGGTTCAGCAGCAAAAGTTTCGTATGTAGGTTATGCAATGGATATTGCATAACTTTTGCAATATTTATATTGCAAGTGCCAAGGGGAGAAGGAATCTGTGATTATTAACACAGCCCTCTGGCCAGCTTCAATGCATGAACTATGGCAATTATGTTTGATATGAATTATTTGTTACTTATTTCTTTTTCTTTCATTTCTAGGAGAAGCATTGATGGTGGCTAACATTTCAATTTAGCTTCTCTTCGGGTTGGCTGAAAAGACTTCTCCCCACAGTGATGAGCGGGCTGATAGGAATATGAGAATCATCTACATTGTGTATGTGCAATTTATTGTCATCCAAATACAAATCAAGAACGGATGCTGAGGTTGCAGGGGGAAATTATGCTGGTTATTATACATAAGCCCCTTCACATTCCTTCTCTGTCCTCCTTTGTGTTTTGCAAGGATGCACTTTACAGAAGACATTTCTCAAGTTCCCTTGCCCTCTGATGTATGGCTGAGTTTAGCCAAACCTTCCGGCACTGAGTTTTTTGGAGAAAATTTATATACAGAGAAGCAGTAGTTAAGTATGTGGATACTCCATTGCACCTTGCATTCCAGGGTAGTGTACACAGATTTAACAGGACTAGGCATTAGACTTTGGGAGAAAGATGCTAACATTTGGGCTGTTGGAGTAAACTGCATGATAGGAAACACTGGCTTCATTCCTAGTATACTCAGGGGCTGGAACATAATAGCATGAGGATGTGGGGGAATTGTAGCTCCAGCTCTATCCTGCCAGCTCAGCATTCATACTTGGTGATAAACCAGCCTCATCCCTGGCATAAATAGAAAGCTGGGAAACAAGCCTGCTGGCTACAGATGTATTGTGTGGTTTGCTAGTAGCATGACTCACTACCAGAATATTCAAGGTTGGGACTTAGAGGTAGAATAGCTCTTCTCTGGCATGATGGAAGGTGAAATGGATTCCAATAGGATTTATTGCCTAGGCATGTAGCTAGTTTCCTCAGAGCTTTGAAGGGGCACCACTTCTTTTCTCTGTGGCCAGCCTCCATGGGGTTAATCTTGGGCTAGTTAACCCTCACTTCTCCATGCAACAATAAAAGCAAGCACTAACATTTCCACATCTTAATAATAAGATCTGTGTATTCTGGCTCTGGAGAGAAGACATCATTTTGGTTGCTGGAGGTTAAGAAATATACCACGTCTTATAGGACCCCAATCCTTCAGTCTAATGCCTCTGTATTAGAGGTGCTGTAAATGAGCCTTCAGAAGATTATTTCAAGATCATATCAATTGCTTAAAAGTGATGGAGCATGCGGATTTTACAGGCTTTCACCAATTACTACACTTCTTTTACCCTGCAAAGAACTCCTTAATCAGAGCTTACATTGCTTGGGACATTGCCGTGATGAATGAAACATTTAGTAAGTCCACAAATTGTGCCGCTGGTAGAAGCAATGTAGGAAGGGAAGGCAAATATAAATTTGGGACATACATCTATTCTCATGAGGATGAATCATTAACCGCCCCCCACATAGTGGAAGTAGTTCAATGTAATAATCCTAACCAGTTGATTCCTGTGGGTCCATCCTGAGAATTTTGCTTTTGTCTTTGTCATTGGCAGTGTGAGTAATTAGTAACAGTAGTAGCCAGATTAGTCTTGGCAGTGTGAAATCCTAATTGTTGAGCCCATGCATAGCCTCCATTCCTGTTGGCATGGCCCTTCTGGACAAAGGCTCATTGAGCAAGCAGCAGGGAGCACGGAGCAGAGAGGAGAGGAAGAGTCTGGATAATACCCACTAGATGGATGATCTTCTCCACCTAATAAGAGCATTCTCTGGGGGCATTTGCACAGTACATGGATGACTTGGCACAAAAAGTTCATATACACACAACTTCCTCTTTGTTCTTCCAATAATATTCCCTTAGCCTTACATTCTCACCATTCAGCCCACCTATCATCGATGTTTAAAATAAGAGTCCTACCTCACTGTCATGCAAAGTGGACAATCAGATAAATTACCTCATGCTATGCCTACTCTTCTCTACAGAAATGTATTTCATGGCCAGCCTTGGTTTCATTCTAATGTAAGTAGCCATCCACAGCTGGTTGGTGCCAGCATACCTTGTAGACCCATTTGTAAGCCATGTCTGTGCTTTTTGTTGCTCTCGTAATTCGTCCGTGGGAACTCCCCATGAGACCAGAGTGTAGGTTGCAGAGGTGATGAAATAGCAGAATTGAGATTCTGAGCTACCTGCTCATGCACTATGCTCACACCTACCTTCCCTCCTCAGGCCAGTTTTCTCTACATCATTTTCATTTATTTAAGAATGTTGCTGTTACAGCTACATTTATGATTTCATGGATGGTTAGTTCAGTTTTTGATTGGTAGAGTCTAGTTCCTGACAAGGAGCTCATGTTATATAATCACTTGTAGGTCCACTGTTAGAAACTCAGTCTCTACCAGGGCTCAGTGGCAAAGCAAGTGTTGCCTTGAAAATGTAAGAGAATGGTCAGCAGAAAGAAAGGCTTTATTCTAAGCTCTAGGTGTATGTTTTCTAATTCCCTTTAGTAGGGTGGCAAGAGAACCCATAAAGCATACGTAGTTTTTTATGGACAGTGCTTGAGCCAATTTATTAAATTCTAAATCCTGAGTGAGTTCATCTATTTTAATAAATTCATCTTCACCCAATCTTATATTTTGTTTTCCTTTGTCGAGTACTCTTATAATATCTTCCGCCATATGTTTCCTAGATACCTAAGAATTAAAATAGGCAAAACTCCTTTAGTTTAATCGTTTCCTCATCCTGAGCAGGTCTTCCCCTTCTCTGTCTCAGCTATGCTAAGATTTAATTACCTTTACGCATTAGGAGGCAATGAGTTCTAGTGGGGATAGGGCCTGAGAAGAATTAGCATCTCCTAAGAAAGCACCTCTATGGGAAGAGGCATTAAAACATTTTTATGCAAAAGAAGAATCTTATAGCTTCCTAGGTAGAAACAAGGAAGGTTTGAGGACTGGAGGTTCAGTGTCTCAGACTCATCCCTTTATCTTCAAAGGTTCTCATCTCACATCTCAGATCCCACTGTTTCATAACCAGTCCCCTACTTTAGCACAGAAAATCTGACAGGACTGAGCACTTGTTTTGGCCTTGTAACCTTGTGACACTTAAAAGCAGTCCACGGATTTAATACTCAGCCAGGCTGACCCTGTAAATACAGGAAATAAGACCTCCTGTTAAAGTCATCATAGAGGCTTTCAGATTCTTCATGATGCATTGAGACAAGCATTCAAGGTCGTCAGTTTGTCTATATTTGTACAATGAACATTGGAATTTTTTGTACCATGTAGTATCTCACCGACAATAAAATGTGTAATATTTCAGGGACAATAAAAAACAATCAGATATTCCATAAACTCTGTGGTCACTATTGCCCTGTAATGGTTTAAAATATGTCCACAAATTCTTAGATAGCCTCTTTAAACGGTAAAACCTAATCCCACTCTCCCATCCCTGGTTGAGTGTAGGTTAAACTTAGCTACTTACTTCTAATGTTCAGAATGAGCTGGAGGCAATGGTTTGTGAATTCTATATCAGACACACAAAAAGCATGTGGCTTCCTACTTACCCTCGACCTGCAAGGAGAAACCAGTTTCATGTCAATACTTAGTTAGCCCCTATGAAGAAGCCTACACGGTAAAGAGCTGAGTCCTCTTGCCAACAGCCAGCAAGAAACATAAAGGTGGGACATCTTCGAAGCAGATTTCTTATCCTCAGTTAAGCCAACAGATGGCTGCAGCCCCAGCAGATATTTCAACTGCAACCTCTTTGAAGTCTGTAAGTCAGAAATACCTAAAATACCAGGTAAGACACTCCTGACTTCATGCCCTACAGAAACTGTAAGATCATTAGTGTTTATTGCTTGAAGCCACTAAATTTTGAGGTTACTTGTTACACAGTGATGAATAACTAATACACCCATGAAGTGAATAAATATCACGAGATATTGACCTGTGAGTGTCTCATTCTTCCCTCCATCTCAAGTCACTACACAGAGAAACTTGAGTAGTCTTGATATTACTGTGTGAGCTCATCAAATATGCGAGCAACACAATCCCAGAATTCCGCTTTGGAAGTCAGTTTCCTAGGTCTACTCTTGGTAACAAATTCTGCATTTATACAGAAAGAGGAACATGGCTAACCCAGAGGAGCAATGAACGAAGCATAAGACTCCTTATAGCATTGTGAAAAGAGTTAAGGGACCAGAGAAGAAATAGTAAAGAATCCAGAAACAAGAAACTGTAGAAATGTGTTATTTCTGCAGAACCTGGAGAGAGCTCTAGTTGTGATCCAAATGACCTGTGGCCTCAGAAAGCAAGGAAGGGAGAAAAGCAAATACCCTGACCTCTTTCTCAAGCTTTTACCTTCTCATATAGTTTTGCTATGTCTCATTGGCCAAACTCAGCTGGAAGCCAGACGGTAAGGGTTCCTTGGTGATGTAGACAGTAAAGCCTGCCTCAGGCCACAGAGCAGATGAGAAGAAGAATGAATGTCTCAGTCTGTTCAGGCTGCTGTAACAGAAATTCCATGGGCAGGACCAGGCGCAGTGGCTCGTCCCTGTAATCCCAGCACTTTGGGAGGCCGAGGTGGGCGGATTACAAGGTCAGGAGATTGAGACCATCCTGGCTAACACGGTGAAACCCCGTCTCTACTAAAAAACACAAAAAAACTAGCTGGGCGAGGTGGCGGCGCCTGTAGTCCCAGCTACTCCGGAGGCTGAGGCAGGAGAATGGCGGGAACCCGGGAGGCGGAGCTTGCAGTGAGCCGAGATGGCGCCACTCACCCCAGCCTGGGCGAGAACGCGAGACTCCGTCTCAAAAAAATAAAAAAATAAAAAAATAAAAATTCCATGGGCAGGGTGGCTTGTAAACAACAGCTGGCTTATCATCATTCTGGAGGCTAGGAAGTCTAAGATCAAGAAGCCAGCCGATTCTCTGTTTGGTGAGGGCCCATTCCTCATAGACGGCCCTTTCTGGCTCTGTCCTCATATAATGGAAGGAGCAAGGCAACTGGGGTGTGTATTACAACAGCAGTCATTCCATTCATGAGGGCTTCATCCTCATGACCTAATCATCTCCCAAAGCCCACACCTTACAATACTTCCACATAAAGGATTAGGGTTCAACATACGAATTTGGGGGAAAGACAAACTTTCAGACCACAGCTGTGAACAGTGTATCTAGAGGAAGGAATTGAATTTTTTTTTAAAGAAGCAAATGGTGTAAACTACTCACCAAATCATCAGTCAGTGA